TGGCCTCCACTAAGATGGCCCTGGGTGGGTGGATGGATGGATGGCTGAATGGGTGTTTTGTTTTTGTTTTTTACGGTACTGGGGCTTGAACTCAGGGTGTACACCTTTTTTATGATGGGTTTTTTTGTGATAGAGTCTCCCAAACTATTTGCCCAGGCTGGGCAAAACCATGATCCTCCTGATCTTTGCCTCTTGAATAGCTAGGACTCAAGTGACCATTCTGTCTCAGCCTCCCAAGTAGCTGGGACTATAGGTGCATGCCACCATGGCAAGCTGACACTGTGTACTTTGAAGGGGAAGGCTGCCAGGAATAGATCAGCCTGTTCAGACCAGAAGAAGTCCCGAGGCTAGCTCCCTCTCACCTCTGTGGCCAGAGCCCTCTGGTTACCCCATACACTTGGGTACTAGTCCACTTGTAGAACACATACCTGGTTCGTGAAGGTTGCCACAGAACTGGTCATGGCCAAGGTGTGGCTCCCTGACAGCAGAGTCATTTACTGCTCCTGCTCTTCCAGTATCCCCAGTCTCCTGACCCATGGGGACCCATAGGTACAACTTTTCACAGAAGACTCTGGTTGGCCTGTGGGACTGACTGTTCTGACCTCCCTTCACATAGAATAAAATCCAAAGCCCTCACCATGGCTCTTAAGGCCTCACAGGATCTGAACCAAAGAACCCTCTCTCCCCACCCGCCCCGGTCCCCAAGCTTAAAAACCCCAAGTTGAAATCCCAACTCAGCCGCTTAATATCTATGTAACTTTGGACAGGTCCTTCAACCTCAGAGCTACATCTCCTCCTGGACAAAATGGGCCTAGTCAAAGCACCTGCATCAGGGTTAGTGCCAGGATTGAGCAAGAAGCCTAATGAAAAATTCTAGAAGTGCAGGATGGAATAAGCCCAGCTGCTACTGCTCCTACTCTGCCCCTCTTGGGTCCACCACACTACTGTGAGGCCACCTCAGAGCTGAAGGGAGCAGCCATGGAGCCTCAGGCTCCAGGTGAGAACACAGAGGCCCCAGTGGAGGAGCGACCTCCTGCAAGGTTGCATAGCCTGCTTCAGCCCAGGTAGGACTTGCACCCAGGACTCTTCACTCAAGGTCCCTGTGCCTTCACTGGTCCCATCTCCAACTGACAGGAAGAGAGACACGCTATTTATGCCAGACTGGCTTTCTTTTCAGCTTTCAGGAACCAGTTAAATCCTGCTGAGTTCACTCTTTCAGGCCTAGGCCTGTGTAATCTGCCTATGGTGCTCTGGAGAGCATCCACAGGGCTTTGACGACTGACAGCCACAGGGCCCTGCCAAAAGGGGCAGCAGGACATTGATGAGCACCCTTTAAAGCTCTGTGGTCTCAGCTTCCTTAATGGGGGTTTTCCTCCACCTCCTTTCTCCCCTTCTCACCTTTAACACGGTTGCCGGTTTGGCTTTCCAACTGCGGTTTGGATTCCTCACAGAGAAGTTGAGACTGTGGAACCCTTTCCAGACCTACCCTCCCTCATCCCCTTGGGTCACTGAAGCCTAAGAAAAGAGAGAAAGCCTGGATCCTGTTGGATTTCAGCAGGAAAGAGGGCAGCTCTGGTGGGATTCCAAAAGTCAACTGACTTGTGCCAAAATTCACCTTATGAGACTTGTGAAGGGGACTGAGAGGTGTCACCCCGGTGGCATGGTGGCCTCACTTGTGGTGTCAAGTGAGGCCCATGTTCAGAGCCCAGTATGATGCGGAGTGAGGCAGAGCCTTCCTGTCCTGCCTGCCTCCCCCTCCCTCGCTCCTCTGAATTTCTGCACCTCATGGAGGCCTGAGTGTTCCTTGGCCATTTTTTTTTAAAACTACTTCCATCTCTCCCACTGGACCAGAGCAATGTCCACATCTCTGGGGTACAAGGCTCAGCCAGGGGTATAGCCACCCTCAAGGTGGGGCTGGAAGGCAGGCCCAGCCCTTTTTCCTTTCTTGTCCTCTGATGGGATGAGAAAGGGCGGGGTTTCTGTTTTCAGGGTGGCCCCAGTGCCTCCTCTGACTCCCATGTTTCCTTTGCTCCTCACATGGCCCTTCAGGGTCCTGCTAGGTACCTCTTGACCACTGGTGCCACTTGGCCTGGATTACCTCCAGCTCCTTACAGCTGGCTCTGGGAAAGGCTCAGAACTCCAGCCCAGGGCCACCCATCATCTTGTCAGTCCTGAGAGGAGTCTCCTCTCACCAGGCATTGGTTTTACCCAGTGTCCCCACTGCTGCACACACATGCTCCTATAGCATGCCAGCAACAAGGCCACAGGCAACCAAAAAAGGATAGGAGGTGAAGAAGAACCAAATCTGTGATGTCTTCCCCTAGGAAAAGTGGTGGCATCTCTACTGTATTGATAAATCACCGTTATCTCATTTCCAAAGAAACACACAGCAGAGCTCTTTGTCTTGGTGACAAGGTGCACTGCACAGTGCAGCCTGTCTGCAGGGAGGTGGCTGTGCTCTGACTCCTGGGAACATGGGAGGAAGGAGAGCTTGGGGAGGAGGCTTGGGGAGAAAAGCGAGGCTCCAGCAGGTACTTCCTGGCCATCTGCTATGTGCCCCGCCATGCTGAGTGCAGTGTGTGAGCACAGGGAAGGGGCCACAGGATGTGCAAGTGGGAAGTGAGTCACACAGGTGACCCCTGTCTGACCTAGGCAGGGCTAGTGACCAAAACTGGGGGGGCAGTTACACCAGGATGGCTGCAAAAGCTGCTTTTGTGGCCCCATGCCCCCTCTATTTCCTTCTGCATGCTAAAGACTGCTTCCCAGTACAAATGGGGCTCCACCTGAGGGAACCCTCTTGGCCAGAATTGATGTCCTTCTCAGTAAGAACCCCCGGCACCAGGTGTGTTCTGTATCATTTCTTGGAGATCCCAGCAGGACTGGGTTACAGCTGTTCTCAGAGAGCAGCCATCTTGACTATTCCCCCTGCCCTGCCCTGCCTTACTCTCCTTCTCCCCAGTGATGGTTTTGGGGATTGCCTCCTACATAAGACTTGTTTCTGGGGTGGCTTCTTGGGAAGTAACCTAAACCACGTTAATGTTTCCCTTTTTCTTAGTATCTTACTCGGACCCTGACAGACGCTCGAATGGATTAACATTCAGCCTATGTATTTTCTCACAGGCAATGGGACCCCTTTATTGCAAGTGGTGAAAATCCATCTCCAACTAGCTTAAATAAAAAGAACATTATTGTTAACACACGTGAAAAGTACCAGGTACAGAATTTCATTTCAGCTACTGAAATGATGTAAAGGAATCTTTTCCTCACCATCTCTTGGCTCTGCTTTTTAATCATTCAAGAAGCCTTTGTTTGCTTACGCCTATAATCCTAGCTACTTGGGAGGCAGAGATTGGGAGGATCATAGTCCCAGACCAGCCTGGGCCAATAGTTCACAAGGCCCCATCTTTAAAATAACCAGACCAAATTGGACTGGAGGTGTGGCTCAGGTGGTAGAGCACCTGTTTTGCAAACACAAAATCTTGAGTTCAGACCTCAGTCCCACCCAAAAAAAAAAAAAAGTAGAGGAAGAAGAAGCACTTATTGAGCACAAACTTGTGCCAGGCACAGTTCCTTTCTCTTGTTCCATTTGTTTCTCAGGCAATAATAAAGTTGTCTACCTGAGGTGCCAGGCTTTCTCCCAGTTTAGCCACTGGGAGAAGTCTAGGGCTGACTCTCATTGGTGCAGGTTGACCTGCCCATCCCTGAGCCAGTCATTGTGATTCTGGTCAACTAGGCTCCCCTGTTGTTGGGGGAGTGGAAGGGGTTAGCCCCATTAGCTCCACAAGGACTGGGAATGAAGAAGGACTTCAGAGGGCAGTCGGCAGACTGCAACAGATGTGAGTTATATCTCTGGATGAGCCTTCATCACATGCCAGGCTCCACGGGCCCCATGATGGGTCACCAGTGTTATAACACACAGGATATGGCAAGTGACAGTGCTGAGGATGTTCTAGAAATGGGAAGATTGATCTCATCTTGACCAATCCTTAAGTAAGGCCTATTGAAACGGGGCATTGGCTCTGAACATTGACATCCATCAGATACACAAGTGCCAGTTGTAAGCACTTGGACATCAGACCAGTGAACTCAGATTCTAAATTTACTAGACTGGGCTGGGGCTGTAGCTCAGAGGTGGAGTGCTTGCCTAGCATGCCCAAGGCCCTGGGTTTAGTCTCCAGCAACACAAAGCAGGTAGAGGCTGGAGCTGTGGCTCAAGTGGTAGAGCACTTGCCGGGCAAGCTCACAGCCCAGATTACAAACCCTGGGACCACCCCCACCACCGAAAAACAAAAACAAAGAACCAGCTAAATTTAACAGACTGGAAAAGGAATGTACGTTGATATATTCATCACAATTGAAGGTCAGCAGCAAGGAAGGGCCTTCTGGAAAGGTCTGCAGGGCTGGCACTTCCTGTAAGCCTTGCCCATACCTGTACATGGATGTCCCAACCCACTGGCAGCAGCCTGAATGGCTGTAGGCTGTGTGTACAGAGAGGCCAGGCCACAGTCAGGCTGGGGCAGTCATGATCCCTTGACGATGGCTTGTTTCCGCCCTGGAAATAGCCACCCACCCAAACTAAGAATAGGAATTCCTGCCTGGCTGGCAGAAATGAATGCCGATTTCTCAAGGAGGGATGGGCCTGAACACAGAACATAGCATGTGGGTTGGGTCACACTTTTATATTTATTTGTGAGGTCACTTGCAAGCCAGCCCCATGTTGGGCATTGATCCTGCCGTAGACCCAGACACAGTGACTTGGCCAAGTTGTTCACAGAAGCCCAAGATGGCAGCCTCCAGCGAGAGGCCCTGGGCACTCAGCCGTGGGCGCTTCCTGCCCCCAGGGAGAGGTGACCACTCCTCTCTTGTTTCCTTAACAGTGGGCAGCAGTGGGAGCAGGTGGTAGCCAGCTAAGATGCTGAGAAGATAAAGGGGAGGGGCCTGGGTGGGTCCCTGTGGCAGCTCAGCCAGAATCACACAGCTCATGAGCATCTCTCTTCCAGGCAAGATCCTCTTCCGGAGGAGCCACATCCGGGATGTGGCTGTGAAGAGGCTGAAGCCCATCGATGAGTACTGCCGGGTAAGGCTGGGCTGGGGCAGGGAGGGGAAGGGGAGGGCTGGACCCTCTGCCCAAGGGCCTGACCATCTGTGAGGAGGGAAGCTGTCTGGACAAAGCCCTCCTGAGGCCTGGTGTTTTCCTTGCCAGTGGGGTTGGAGTGGTGTCTCTTGGGGAGGGCTTACCCCAGGCTGGGTCACCCTCTAAGGCACGAAGGCCTCTGGCTGACAGCTAAGACTCTACTCCTTTCAGAAAACATTCCTGTTTACAAAATGCTGGTTAAATCACTCACACAGTTTGGGAGCTAAGTTGTGGCCTCCTGCTGAAGGGATTTTGTGTGTGGCATTTTGCTGGATGTGGAAGAGTGTTTCTTGCAGTTCCTTTTGGACAGTTGTTGGAGTCAGTTCTGAGCTCCGCGGAATCCAGAATACTCAGTTGTTTCTTCACAGACATCGTGATACATACAGATGTTCATGTACACATCTTTGTAGAGGCAAACGCCTCCTCTCCTCAAAGCCCCAGCTGGTTTCCTGAGCCTCAGTTTCCACCTCTCTCTCTCTCTCTCTCTCTCTCCTCACCCTCCCTCCCCTGTCTCAAATACACACACAAGATGCTGGAGTGGTCAATACCAAAAGCAAACAGGAAAGCGGGGAGTAACAGCAATGTCATAAACCAGAGCCCGTTTGTCTTTCTGCTTTTTTGCTTGTTTGTGTGTTCCCTGCCCTGGTGGTGCTGGGGCCAAACGCAGGGCCTCAGCATGCCTGCCCTTCTGCATTGATTTTAGTCTAGGACCCCTGCAGTGAGGTCGTGAAGCTGCTCTTCTGTGTCCTTGACACATGAACTCTGGATGGCCAGACTGCCTGTGTTCAAACCCCCAGCTAGTTTCATGAACTCTGGGCAAGTTACTTAATGTCTCTGAGCCTCCATTTCCCTGTACAGCAGGGAGGAGAATGGTCCTTCTGCAGAGGGTGGTCATGGGGATAGAATAAGCTGACACTTGTCAGGACCAGAACAGTGTCTGGCTCAGAGGAAGCAGTCATTGATGCTTTCTACTACAAGGCAAAACATTTTTAGTAAATCAACAAGCAAATGAAAAAAAGCATTATTAAAAGCAAATAAAGGACTGGGGATGTTTCAGTGACAGATTGCTTACTGAGTATGTGCAAAGTCCTGGGTTCAGTCCCCAGCACCACAAATATAAATAAATAAAATAGAAGCAAATAAAAAGTACAAAAGCAGAGCTAGGGGTGTAGCTTAAGTGATAGAATGCCTGCCTAGCAAGTGTGAGGTCCTGAGTTCAAACCCCAGTACCACCAGGCTACTTAGGAGGCTTAGATCAGGAAGACTGCAATTCAAGGCGAGCCTGGGCAAATAGTTCACAAGATCTCATCTCCAAATAACCAGAGCAAAATGGACTGGAGGTATGGCTCAAGCAGTAGAGCGTCTGCTTTGCAAGCACAAGGGTCTGAGTACAAACTCCAGTCTAAATAAATAAATAAATAGGTTGAAAGCAACTATCCTAACAGAGGTTGAATGGGAGCCTAGTGACTCCTGAAATGTTGTCCTTACACAGAGCTGTTACCTGTAAGGTCCTTTCTGCTATTACATTTTATAATTCTGAATCATTATACTTAGCAATAAAAATGTTTAAATCAGAACCACTTTGTTAAATTAACTGGCATTCCCCAGCCTCAAAGGAAGACAAATGCTCCCATTTACTGTGCATTAAACCCAAGTTTGAATTTTGTGTGGGTTATGGCCAGGTCAAACGTTCTGCCTTGTCCTAAAAGGATGCCGTGATGAGGAATTCCCCTGAGCAAGAAGCCCTTCTTAGATCAATATTCACTTTTCTCGTTAAAGGGCACTCACTGTTTCTAGTTAAATTGATGGCTTCAGCCTGAGTTTTGATTTCTCTTTATTCCTTTCCCAAGAAGTTAAATAGATGGACAGAGTTAATGGAGGAAGGGGCAGAGGGCAGGAAGAAGCCTTTTCCAGCCAGGATTTATAGCTCAGAGCAGCCTGAGCTAGGGGGCCCCAAGGCATCTGCAGTCCAACACATCTCCCATACTGGCCAGAGGAGGATACCGATAGCATCTTATCTCCTGGGATCATGCTTTGAACAGGACTCTTGATTCAGGGGCTCTGGGGCTCCAGCACTGCTAGTGGCTGGGGACCCATTGATGTGGGGTCTGCAGGGGGAGGGGCCTCCTAACCTGATTAGCATGGATGGGAGCCCGAGCAGCAACGGGGCCAAGAGCAGTGACAGGGGCCATCGCTCAGGCAGGAATTCACTCTGAGAATGTGGCAGAGCGGAGGCAGAGCACACTGACCTTTAATTCTGCTGAACTAGAAAGCTGGGATCTGTGCACTGATTGTCTGAGAAACCCACTGGCATTGGAAGGGTCATTGGGGATAAGCCAGCAGTAGTCCATGGTCACTTCCACCCAGACAGTCCATCTCTGACCACTCAGCATCACTGTCCACCACAGCCAACTTCACGTCCAGTGCCATGTACAGTCCATTCCTTGTCCTGTCCTTGAATATATGGACATTTTTTAGCATTTTTTTTTTTTTGGCAGCACTGGGGTTTGAACTCAGGGCTTCACACTTGCTAGGCAGGCACTCTACCACTTGAGCCCCTCCACCAGCCCCTGAAGTCCTTATTTATAGTCCCCTGCATATGCCTCTCTGCCTGCTGGACAACATCTTCTTCTTCAGACCTGGACAGTGTGGGCTTAGAGTCTGGGACTGGGTAGGGATCCAAGTGCACCCCAAATTGTGAGGCTAGGCTGCAGATGGAGCACTCAGATGCAGAAAATGTGGCCAGGCACTGGCTCTCCCCAGACTTCAGGCTCTGCCCTTACTGACCAGCTAGCCAGCCCCTCGTGGAATGGTAACAGTCTGAATCTCCATGTTAATTTTAAGTATATATTGAGTAAATTGAATGAGCGCCATGGAAAATTTCCCAAGCGCCAGCCAGGTAATTGTTTTATGTGGTACTCGGGGACCAGGTGTCTATCAAGAAGGGCTCCAGAGGTATTTCTTCAGCTCCATAAATGAATTTAACAGGCAGCATGGTTACATGGTTACCATGCAATGGTTCTGGGGCCAGGACACGTTGAAGACTTTCATCCAACTCACAAGCATGAGCTGAACTGTGGGAGCTCAGACAGACTCAGAATTTCTAATGTGACTCTATACGCCCTTTCCTGAGCATGAAATACAGGTTTTCAGTGTTTGTTCAGGAGACAAAAGTATCCCAGTGGGAGGTATGTGTGCGAGAGAGAATGTTCCAGAATGGTCATCTCACCTTTGACATGTTAATGGCATTTGCACAAGTGCAGGCCACCAGAACTTTTTTGCTGTCCCCATGGCTGACCTTGTTTTTATTCTTCTGTCCACAACATACTTGTTTTCAGGGATGAAGAGTTCAGTGCAGGGCTGGCTGAGTGGCTCAAGGGGTAGAGTGACTGTCTAGCAAGCTTGAGGCTCTGAGTTCAAACCTCAGTCTTGCCAAAAAAGAAAAAGTTCAGTGCAGACAGGGGCAGGAAGTCTGAGCCCACCAAGAGATTAGCACTGAAGGGCCGAGGACCTCCTGATCACTCCCCTGAATCTCCCAGACTCCCTCATTTCTATCTCTACTTCCCAGATTGGAAACAGGCTATTATGTGGCGGCAATTCCTAGTTCCCAGTGTTCTGCTTCCCACTGTGGGACATTTCTACCACGGACTATAGTAGGTTCTTCTCTCAGAGAGGGTGACCTTGTTCTTGTGGTCGTCCCTCTGAGGGTGAGCCTAGGCCAGAAGTGCTGCTATTGGGGGAGAATGAGGCATGGCAATGCTGATCGTTCCTGCTTCCTAAGTGGTTTCGTGCTTGGAAACCACTTCAGTAGAATCTGGTAGAATCTCTCCTTCTCCCTGGCAGACTCAGGGAAGACGTTTCTAAGAGAAAGCTGTTTGTGACCCTATTTTTCTTAGAGGCCTTGGGGGGTGAGGGAGGCCCAGCCACAACTAAGAACTGAGCATCCCAGCTGGACTGTCTGTGGACTGCTTCCTGGTGCTACTCAGGGCTCCACTCCTGCCTCTCCCCCATACCTTGCAGTTCAGTCAGCCAGACCTGAGCCTGTTCCCAAATAGCCAGGCTTCTGCCCCTTGGCCTGTGTCCCTCCACCTTGGGAGGATGCTTTCAGGAGAGGCCTTGCAGATCTGCTCCAGGAAGCCGATCCCCCCACCATGGTCTCATCCTCCCCGCCCCCCGCCCCGCCCCCCAGAGAACTCTGCTAGCTTCTACTCTGCAGGACAGTGACTTCTTGTCTGGGGACATCTTCCCCAGACAAGTTGCTCCTCACAGCCAAGTCTGTTATCTTCCTATTGTTATTAGTGAGCAGAAAATGACCCCAGGCTGCTGATAAGATAGAAAATCACAGGACAGAAACCGTCTCAGAGGTGTCCAGTCTTCCAGGCCCCAGTGTCCTGGAGTCCCTTGTAAACTGGCTTCAGCTGCTAGGGAGAGGAGAGTTAGACATTATTTGTATTTCAACAGGAGCCGCTGCTGAGTCCTTCAAAAAGAGGCCTGTGTTTGAAATACTGAAGCCCCCAGCTTTTCCAGTGATGATCCTGGAAGACAGCCCAGCAGGGGTGGGGTGGGGACATAATGGGGGGCCACACAGACCAAACTGCAGACCCCCTCCCACACACTCACACACAGCACCACTCCAAAGTGGCAGGCTTTGTGGAGGATGATGGTTTAGAAGCCAGGCATCTGAGGAGTGGGTCGTGAGGAGTGGGTCATGGTACCTCCTGTGCCACTTGCATTTTCACAGACCAGACTCTGCACCTCTGTGTCTGAGTGGAGACTTCAACATATCCTGCAGCCACCTCTCCCTGTCCAAACCCCACCATATGCCGTGACAACACCTGGTGGTGCTAAGAAAATGGCCTGTGGTGGGGGAGGGCAGGTGGTGTAGACATCAGGGCAGTTTAAGACTGGAAAAGGGAGAACTGGCAGGACTAGCTGGTCATAAAACCTGGACAGCTCTTCAAAGCCTCTTTACCAGTCCTTTAACCCAGGTACCCCATTTCTCCAGACCTGCCCTTAGCCGCCTCACAGCCTGCTGCCCCCTGATGCTGATGGTGGGAGGTCAGGCTCACTCAGGCCCTCCTCCAACCCCACTGCCTCGGGACCCTCTCTGCTTACCTGAGCCCTAAGGAAGGCTGTCAGAGTGATCGATAGATAACACAGATGCGCTCACTAGTGATGGTGCTTTTCCTGCCCTAGAGCCACAGCTCTTAGAGCTGGAAGGACCTTCAGAGTGTCTCTAACCTGGGTCTGCCCTGGCCCTGTTCCCTGGACTGTCACCAGAAGCTGTTCCAGCTCCATAGTCAAATACCTAAGAGGAAGCCTGGACACATTAGAGAGCAGGAGATCAGACAGAGCAAGGGTTCTGGATTCAGACACCTGGTGCAAAAAAAGCTGTGTGGTTTTGAGGAATGACCTCTCTGGGCTTTAGTTTCTTCTATAAAATCGGAATCATAGTCATACCCTTCTTTAGAATTAATGTGATAATTACACAGGTGAGTCCCCCAGGATGTCATTATTAATAGTAAACACTGGCCTAAACAAAGCTCCTGTAGGACTTCTCAGAGGCTTTGCCAAGCTAACAAGCATTGTGATGTCCAAGCCAGGCCAGGGGGACCTTCAGGCACCATTCCACACACGCCCACCGAAGTCTTCTTACCTTGTCAAGCAGATATTCCATAAGATATACTTTAGGATTCCAGAGCGAATCTATTTTATCCTGGAAGAACTGACAGCCAGAGAGACGTGGTGATCTGCCCAAGGTCACATAGCAAATATATAACTAACTGCAGAACTGGAGCTAGGATGGAGGTCTCCTGGTGCCCAATGATACTAGCTCTCTAGTATCATTGCTGCTTTCACCTAAACAATAATGGTGACAATGATGATGGTGATATAACAGTAGCCTGGCCTGAGCTGGGATCGTCGTAGTCATAATTGGTGGTACTCACACCATTCAGTATGGTAGTTATCATATCAAATCCAATGTACTGAACTTAGAGAGGGCAGGTAACACATCTGGCATCACACAGCCCATGAGCTGCAAAGCCAGGACTCAAGCCCATGTTTGCTTGGCTTAACCCTCCACATGGCATATGCCATGAATATCTGCTGCCAGATTGGAGGCCTGAGCCAGGTGCCACCCCTGGCCCTACCCACATTATCTGGTCCCCACTCTGCCCTTCTCAGCATGGCTGGACTTGGGGTTCCCCGGCTCTGACAGTTTCTGCCAGCATGGCCTGGGGAGCCTACTCAGCACCAGCCTCTCCTGCCAAGTGGTTTTGGCCACAGCTGGGCTTGGCAGCGGCCCTGAAGGCAGCCGCTCTGGTCTGCAAGCCTCTTGTCAGCCTGCAGTCAGGAGGGGCACTCCCCACAGGCTCCCTGTTGGGCAAAGATGTTGCGGTTGTTCAACCGAAAGGCTTCTTTGTCTGAAGCCCTCAAGGCCCACGCGTCCTCTGCCCCCATGCTGCTTTCTGTCAGCATGAAGAGCTCCTCTGTTTGCCATGGTGCCGGGGCGCAAGGCCCAGGGTCTGTGCCCAGGGTGGGGGTAGCGCTGAGTTGGGAGGCACAAGCATTCTGAGCCAGCTAAAACCTGCCCTGTGCTGTCCTGCGTCCCTCCTTCTGCCCTTCACAGGGAGGTCACTTGGTGCCACTGCACACGGCCCTGTCCTACCTCCTGCCCATCTCCTCCTGGGAGCCCCTCCCCTCAGGAGTCTTGCTCTCCTAGTGCTCTCCTTCCCTCCCCTTCTCCTCTCTTCCTCTCTCTCTCTGTGTCCTTCTCTTCTCTCAGTTTTTCTTTTCCTTTCCCTTCCTCCCTTCCTGGGGAGGAAAACTGCACATCTGTGTGAGTTAGGTGGAAACATGAACCCTTTGGAGACAGGTCCCCCACACTCTATTCGTTCTAAGCAGGGAGCTTGGATTCTGCCACTGTACACTATTAATGGCTTCATCCCACTCAACAACCTCAGTGTCTCCATCACAAGCAGAGGCAATGTCTCCCTTCAGGAAAAATGAGGTGACTCATCATTCGAGGTGCTCTCTTGAGGGCATGTCATATCTTCCTTGTCTGTATAGCAGCCGGACTCAGCCCATGTCCCACACATACCAAAAAGTCCTTGCTGTTGTCAGATGATTGGAGTAGTTGGCTGGAGACGGTGCCCATCCTGGGGCATCTGTTCACTTAATGTTCATTTCCCTTCTTTTCTGTTCCTGGTTGTTGACGGGAACGTCGAAGTCCCTGGGAAAGCCATGGGCTCTAGAAGGAACAATTGGACTTGCAAAGTGCTCTCTTACCTGCTAAGGTGCAGTCTTGCTGCATCTTGTTCCGTCTTGTCTGGGTGTGGGTTTGGCACGGAGAAGGGCCTCCTGGTAGGATGCCTGGTGCTAGGTGACAGACTTGAGTTGTCTAACTGGCTCCGAGAATTAGACCATACTTCCCTTCCCCTATTCTATAATTCTGTCCAAGCAACCTTAAGACCACCTGGGCCTTTCTTTGGCCTCATGATCATGTCTTACCACTGTTGGATCTTAGGCTTCTGGACATTTGCATGGCATTTCCAGCCTCCATGGGTGGCCCAGGGCAGGCCAGATAGCCCCACTGAGCCTCTGTTTGTTCATCCATAACTTGGGAGGTGGGAATCCTGCCTTCGAGGGACCATTAGGATTTCCAGTGGCACAGGGAGGACCGTGCTTGGCAGGGAGCTGTTGGATGGGGATCCTGCATCTGAAACCAGTCCTGGAGTGGGGTTGGGGGTCACGAGCATGTGACAAGGTCCAGTCCTTTTTTTTTTTTTTTTTTTGCAGTACTGGGGCTTGAATTCAGGGCCTACACCTTCAGCCACTCCACCAGTCCTTTTTGTGAAAGGTTTTCCCTAGATAGGTTCTCAGGAACTATTTGCCCAGGCTGGCTTTGAGCCACGATCTTCCTAATCTCTGCCTCCTAAGTAGTTAGGATTACGGGCGTGAGCCACTGGCGCCCAGCAAGCTGAGGGTTTCTTGTCTCAGTTTGGCTCCTCTGAGAACTTCCTTTTGGATCAGGCCCAGGCTCCAGTGTGGTCTTGGATGCAGGGTGTGGAGTGCTGGCTGGGGTGTGACACCAGCTCCGACCACTGTCTCTCCCTAGCCCCCACTTTCCAATAGCAGACTCACCCTCCCTGGACAGCAGGCTCATGCTGGCCACTTTCTTGCCTTGATTTATTCCCACTGGATGTTGCTCCTCTCCTCCCTGCTGTCTAAATCCTGCAAACCCCCACTAACCTAGCTCATGATTACCCTTCTAAGAAGCCTTTCATTTCCCATCAGCGGACACTACTCCTCTACACGTCCTCAGCTTGGCTCAGTGAGACCCTAGTAGATCAGGCTCCTGCCTACCTCCCTTGCCCCCTCTTGGTTGCTCTGTGCTCTTGGGCCATACTAACGTTTATTAGTTCCTGCAGTTGCAAGGCTTTTCTCTCTGCTCCCCCTTGACTAGTTCATTCGTACTCATCCTCAGGGCCCAGCTTCAAAGAGTCCTTCCTGAGATCCTCAGCTTCTTAGTGTCTATCAGACTTCATCAGAGTACCCCAGTGTCCCTGGTAGCAATTATCAACGTGTTGAATAACTATAGTCAGTGTCTAATGAATGTGAGAGTATGACAAGTAGGAGATGAGGCTGATAGGATAAGAACTCATGTTGATAGGTTAAAGATCTTAGACCTATTCTGTGGGCTTGGAGGGAGAGGATTTCTTCATGTTTCACACAGAATGACCAGTTCCTAGGGTCCTGAGACCACTGAGGGTTCAGTGGTCATTGTTTTGTTGCTTGGTTGGCTGGTCGTTAACTGCCTGATTGAATTATTGGCTGGATAGTTGATAGGTTGGCTAATGGATTTTTTTTTTTTTTGAGTCATCTGGTTGGTTAGTTGATTGATTAGTTGGCTGGTTAGTTGGGTTTTTTTTAATCAATATGGATAGATAGATGGAAAATTATTTCATAAGTTGGCTTGTTAACTCATTGATGAGTTGTCTGTGTGTGGTGGGTGTGTGGCTGGTTGACTGTGTTTTCTGGGGCACAGTCCTTAAGCCTCCCTCTCACTGTTGACCCTGTTTTTGGTTTTCCTGTTCTCAGATTCATTGCACCTAATGCCTTTTCTTCTTGTGTTTCTACAGGCACTCGTCCGGTTACCACCCCACATTTCACAGTGTGATGAAGTCTTTCGGTTCTTTGAGGCTCGACCTGAAGATGTCAACCCCCCAAAAGAGTGAGTATTAGCTTAAACCTTTCCTTAATGCTTGGGAGGTTTGGGCCAAAGCCGAGGCCAGTCAGGGAGACTGAGGATGTGGGAACACAGTAGAGAGGGAGCTAGGCAGCACTAACCAGGTGGAGGAGCAAGGGTCAGAGGAATGGGGGACCATTGTCCTGAGGCTATAGCCAAAGATTGCTCTTGATTTCCTTCTACCCCGGGGCTGGAAAATGAGGATGTGTCTGTACTTGGGAAACAGGTTTTCCTGGAAACTAAAGGTCATGCCATTCAGATGCCACTCCAGGTTGGAGTTGTTGCTCTTAATTGTGTGTCACAGAGCTCTCAGCTGAATGCAGACTTAGGCCACACATGCTGCCCCAGCACAAAACAACCTACCAAGTAGCAGCAGTCTGGGCACTACAACCAGACTTTAAACTCAGCATGAAAATAACATTGCTTTCACCTGTGCATGTCACGCTAGACATTAACTGGCCTGTTTACAAAGCAGGAAACTGTAGCCTGGTGATGTCAGATTTTCCCAAAATTATAATTGGTTAAGGTTACACTAGGAACTCAAGTCTCTGGTTCCTAGTCGCCCAGCACTGGGTACTGTTTCCATGTCTGGAGAACAATGGGGAAACCAAGCAGCCCTTTGCACTTTCTGGAGTTAGGATGCTCTGGGCCTGGTGGTCAAGGTGAGTCACCTAGTCATGCAGGTTTCCCACATATATGGCCAAAGTCCAACCTGACCTCTATTCTCAGAGCAGTTCACTTACCCTGAGCAGCTCAGGTTCTCAATGGAGAGAAAAGGTCAGTTTTCACTCTAGAGCTGATGGGCGAAGGAGCCAGGCAAGGGTGTGGGTCTTGGAGGGGACTAAGGGGGAGCCAACTGATCACCTCACTCCATACCTATTATTCTCACAATGCCAGGGTAAGTGAGACAGAGGCAGATGGAGTGGGAACTACAGATAGAAAAGAAAGAACAGGACAGAGAGACTGCCTGGGACAGGTGGAAGAGGCAGGGCTACCTGGTTATAAACATAGTGGTGCATGCTACCCAGCTCCAGCAGCCAGTCACACCACACTCCATGAATGGTGCCCATGGAGATTGTCAAGTGCATAGACTGCACACCCATGTGTGACAGACCTGTCCAAAGGACCTCTCTTTCACCACATGTAAGACCAAGAACGTGAAGTGGTCTCAGCTCTTTGAGCATTACCCAGTTCAGAGGCTCACGTGGCCTGGCAAACGCCACCTCCATCACTGGCTGTCACAGGCTTAAGAAATAAGCAAATACTGGGAACTGTTAGTGGGTAGAGGAATGAAAGCCACAGGGTGTAGGATGCAAAGTGTTGAGTTCATGTACAGCTCTGCTGCTTGCTAGCTGCACAATTCACGTAGATCACCCACGTGGCTTCCCCAAGCTTCCTTTTGCCCATCCAGAGGAGGGGATGGTGGTGAGTCCCTGTTCTTGCTTCTCAGAGGGTCCAGGGAAACTCAAATATAAGAGGAGAGAGAGGCCAGGCACTGGTGGCTCACACCTGTAATCCTAGCTACTCAGGAGGCAAAAATCAGGAGGTTCGCAGTTTGAAGCCACCCTTGGCAAATAGTTCACGAGACCCTATCTCAAAAAAACCCAACATAGAAAGGGGCTGGTGGAGTGGCTCAAGGCATAGGCCCTGAGTTCAAACCCCAGTACCAGAAAAAAGAAAAGAGGTAATGGAGGCTCGTACTGGGTGTTAGATGTTCTCACCCTACATACAGACAAGGAACCAGGCTACAGCCGAATCTCAAGGTCCAAACAGAAGCCCACACTTTCCATCCCTCCATTTGCCTCACTGTCAGGGACCCGGGTCCTGACACTTCTCTGTTTTCTCTATCTCCTCCCCACTCTGTGCTCCTGCCCAGCTTTCTTCACTCTCCCAGGGCTCCTTCTAGACCTGCCTGTCCCCAGCTGTGATGGCCTCTTCTCTCATATTGGGGGGGCTACTGGAATCCTGTGGTCATATGCCCTCAAGGTGGGGTGGGGAGGGGAGGGAATGTTGATGGTAGATGAGGCAGGTGTACGGCCACAAAAGCAGCTCACCGAACCGTTGATCTCTGCCTTCCCTCTCTGCTAGTCACCTCAACAAACAAACACACCCTATTTCACATGTGGACCTCCACACTAACACCAACAGGCTAGCCTTTTGCCCTCTCCTTGAGGGCAAAAGCCCTCAAGCCCTCAAGGAGTGTGGGAAACCACACCACAGCCCCTCAGCTGTATGGGATGCAGGCAGTGACGAATGGCTCTTCAGGGCCACGTGCTGGGGTCAGGCCCTGTCATTTAAGGCTCCATGATCTTTGACCATTTGTTCAACCTCTGTGCCTCTGTTTTCCCAAACCTAACTCTAGATAATGCTGGATGCATGGGCAAGCAAGGAGGGAAGGTTTGCTGAGAAAGCAGAGCCGGCACTACTGGCACATAGAAGGAATTGTAGCTCAGAACATGCTTCTCCCTGCACAGCACAGCCTGATCTCAAGTCACCATGGCCAAGGGGGTTATCTGCCTCTTTCTTGGAGTGGTATCAGTTATCTGGGCCAGTCCACCACTGCTCTGGCAAGAGATGGGCCTGAGAACAAGAATCCCTCTGGCTCCAGCCCCTAGACAAACCTGAGGTCCAGGATGTGGGGTGCATTGTGCACAGAGAGTTCAGAGGGCTCCTTCTCCCGACCCGGCCCTGTCTGCGTACTGCCTCTGGGATCCACCGAGACAGACCTATGCTCCACAGCAGAATGCCTGCCGTGAAAGAGCCCGGGCCCTGTGCGTGACCCTCCGCTGACAGCCTGACATAGATCAGCCAAGTACCTGCCCCTCCCTCTGGGGGCTGCTTGCACCTTCCCGGGCCACTGTGCACACCCCTCCCTCCATCCTGAAGCATAAACACAGATCAAGTAACAGCGTATTTTGACTCTGGGGCGACCGTGGAGTGGCTTATCAAATTATCAAAGCCTGTGGATTTAATTGGAATTTTGCAGATAACCCCGGCCTCTTTCAAGTGTGCTGTAGCAGGGGCTCTTGAGAATTCATGGGGCCAGGACAGGTCTGTCTTCCTTTTCCATCTTACTGGGGAGACAAGGTCTGAATACCCTAGACTTGGGAGCAGCTTTGATTCCTTCAAAGCCATTGGCAGCCAGTGATTGGTCCTCCAGACCATCGACCCAGCACAGAAAGGATGCTCTTTGTAGATATTTTTAATGGGCTCGCACAAAATGGCTATGGTGGTTTTGCATCCTTATGTGGCCACCCCAGGAAGGTGACTCTGGCCCTGCCCTCCCCTCTCTCTCTGACTACAAACACTGGTCCACATGTATTGCTGAGATGTGTAGAGCAGAGCTGAACTTGTCTTGAACCCTAAACCTTGGCAGTCTTGTAGGTTAACTTCCTTGCTTTCCATACCGCCTTCTAGTCTTTTCTCAAAAAGCTTGTCAGTAAGAGGCTGGTCCTGGCCTTCCTACTTAAAACCCCATGCTCTTCTACTTACCCGTTAGAAGGGGCAGGCCTGCCACTTGCACCTACAGAGCTGGGGTTCCAGCCTCCTCTTGGGCCTCTGCTCTCAGCCCAAGCATGGGCAGGGTGTACACATGAATTTGGGGTTCCCACATCATAGACAGGAAAACTGAGGCTGAACTGCCAGGCCTCCCGCTTACCACTCAGTGTCTCGCTTCTTGGTGGGACAGTCCTGCTGCCTTCGACCAGTGACTACCTCTTAAGTACAGCCCCAGTGGCACTTAATGTGCCTCCTCCTGCTCCCAGCTGACCCCCCTTGGCTCTGGGCCCAAGTCTGTCCCCTCGGCTCACTTCTGTTGAAATTGCATGGGAGGAGCAGAGCCCTGCTAAACTGGCTTTTGTTCTCAGTCCTAGGACCACAGAGCCACCCTCTGTTGGGGCCTGGAACAATGCCCCAGTGTTCAGAGGGACCTGGAAGAAGAGGCACTGGGTTCTGGCTAAATTAGAGCCATCCCTGCCTCAGCCTACCCAGAGCGCCAGCTTCCCCCCAGCCAAGGGAGCCTAAGCAGTCCTAGGAAAGCCCCTGTCCCACCTCCTGCAACTCAGAGCAGCGGTCTCTCCCAGCATCCTGCCGCACCCCTGTCTTTAGGGTACAGGGCAGGCAGAAGAACAGGCTGTGGTAGGAGGCGGTCCAGTGGGGTTTCTAGGGAAAGCCATCCAGGGCAGACAGCGGGAGCTGTTTGGGGCCAGGGTAGAGATGGAGTCAGATTCAAGAAATCTTGCTGCCCTGCAAGCATCACCACCTTTCTTCCATTTCCATTTTGGAGATGGTGGTTCGTCCAGGACCAGGAATTGGATAGGGCTGTTGCTGCCTTTCCCCAGGGGAAAGAGGGTAAGGAAGAAAGAAAAGACTGCCAGGTCTGCTTCTGGCCCAGCAGGAAGGTGGGTTAAGGCAGTTGTGACAGCACAGCTGGGTTATACTGAGGGTTTGGGCTGCTGCTCCAGAAGCTCCTCATACACCCATATCCGCCAGCCCAGTGGAATTCTAGGTCTGCTCGGAAGGCAGGTTGCTTGTCTTGTGTCTGAATGCTGACATCCTTGGTTAGAGTCCAGGCTTCCCTGTGGCCAGCAGCGTGACCTTGGGTGGATGTCATGGCTCTCTCTTCCCTGTAAGTCACCCAGTGTCATAACTTGGACCGGTGAGAGTGACATGGACTAGTATGTGAGCACAGAGCAGCTGCTGAACCACAGTCACTCCCTCCCCTCCTCCTGGGAGGCAAACGGAAGGTCATGGTCAGAGCCCCTGGAGAGCCTACTGCAGCTGAAACTGAAATTTTGGACTCAAGGCCCAAACTCCTGGGATTCCACATGCCAGGTCTGGCTACTTGCCCCTAAATGACAAAGAGGCATGGTGAAGGCAGAGAAAGGAGGTTTATTACATGACTCATGTCACGGGAAGAGGCAGAGTAAGCACTCAGCCCGTCTTCAACCATCTCAGGTACAGACATGAAGTATAGATTTAAATAG